ACAATAATTAATAGAAGCAAATAAGATTAATTCTACCGATTAGACTATCGTTATGATAATCAAATTTAATTTCATCACGCTCTTTCGAAATTCATTGAGCACCACTTTAACTTTATAGTCAAAATTTGATCCGTTTCCTTTAAGAAATATTGTAAATGTTCCGAAAGTTCCTATCAATATTTATATTTTAAAATTTCATCTTTAAGTGAAGAAGGAGGTGAAGGAATGAGATAAAATAAGATTAAAATATTAATCAAAATCGTTAAATAATGTAAAGGCATTATACCTCAAAGTACATATCATCTCCTTTAAAACCTTGAACAAAAATAGGTAATAATTTATTTTTTTTTAATTATCTATCCGAAAATTGTTATTTATAAAGCCGAAATTAAAGGAAAATGAATAATAAAAAATTTAAAGAATAATAAATATAATCGTTTTTTTTATTTTTAATTTTATAAAAAAACCGAAAAATAAAATAAACTAAAATAGAGGAGAATTAATGCATTAAAAAACGTAGCAAGCTATAGTTGTTGTTCGGATAAATAATAATGTAATATAGTGTAATGTAGAATGATGATGAATGTGAAAAGAGATATTGCTTTATTGCTTATTTCTTGCTTGGCTTTATTAAATATCTGTTCAAAATATATAGATGCATTGTATGATATAGTAATATATAAAAACATTCTTTATTATTACTATTAGTCATCTGTAAATTTTTTTAGGCGTAAATCTCCGTAATATTACGACACCGACGGTAATTATACGGCGGCCGTTTTGACTTTAAATCAGCTTATATTGGTGCTAAAAGTATAAAATGCGCTTTCAGTCTGTCATAAGAGTATCTTAATCAAAAATCTTCCCCGTCTTACAAATCGCGATCGAAGTCAAAAACGGCGTAAAAATTGCATAAAAATTAAAATTCCGGAATTATTTACCGCGAAATTTTTCCAAAATTTTTACGCAATTTTTATGCCAAAAAAAAAATCATTTTTCCGAATTCGATCGCGATGTGTGAGACAGGGAGGAATTTTTTTATTAAGGTGTTCTTATGACCGACCGAAAGCCATGATTATAGGCTATAAGATAACATGTATTACATCCTTTTAGCACCGATATCCGCTGATATATTCCGGTTTAAATTCAAACCAGCCTGTATAAATACCGTACAATTACGTAGGTGTCGGAGATTTACGCCTACTATTTTTTTAGTCGTTATAATTCTTTTTCAGATGAAGAAATTCTAATATGAAAGTATTGAATTTTTGGTTTATATTTTGCATCTAGAAAATAATAATTATTTACAAATTTAAATTATAATTATTTTTTATTTTTATATGTATCACTTTTGATTTTTCCTTGGAATTGCAAACCTAAATTATCAAATATTGTAAGTTCTAATTTGATCTATTATTTTTTAGTAGTACGATTTCGATTTGTGTAAATCACTTCGGAAACTGAAACTTTTTTTAAAATTACATGGTATGTTTAAGGATTGGTTAGTAGATAGTGTTTGTTATACTTTATATGTCGTACTAATTTTTGACACATATTTATTAAATTACACAAAAATTACTTTAAATTAACTGTCACCACGTTTTAACCAGTTTCATTCCATGTGATTACAGTATATCTCTTTACCGGAAAGTATTTTTTTTTTAAAAACAAAACAAGATTAATCTACTATAACTGCTAAAAATTCGGGAGTATTTATTTAGATTATTTTTAATTAAGAAAATATATTTTTAATCAATGGCATTTAATTTAATATGAAATCTAATTTATTATGAATTTTGGCCATACCGAATAACAATAGAAAGATGTCATGACTTATTTATAATTTAAATAATTAATTATTTAAAACTTCTTTATTGTATGATTGGCTTTTTAAAGTATCTATTTCAATTATATTGATACTGATTATTATTTATACATATATCGAAAATGGCTCACCATTGTACAAATTATAAAGTTAAAGTAGAAAGCATTGTTACTACCTGGGAGAGCAAGCTTTACTAATTTATAGTGTTTTAGCTTGGTAGTAAATTTGAGTTGCCTATAATATATTATAAATGTTTAAATTAATTTTTTTTTCTTATAATCTATTGCAAAACTTTTTTTTTTCCATCTATGAAAAAGAGCTTATATTAACCATTAATTGTATCAGCAAATGCTCAGATTTTATGGATGCGCAATGGAGATAAATGATACCTCTTAGATAAAATCTGTACAGCATTTATTTCATCTCTGGAAGCAATGATATCACGAGAGTTGCATCAGTTTTCAATTAGTGAGCATTATGACGAACTAGTGTAAATACGATAAATATTTTATAAAATGTACTTATATTCGAATGTGACAGATGCATTTTTATAATGTAAGGGAATTGGCTCTCCTACCATACTGCAAACTACGACGTGCGTGTGAAGTAATCATATCCTGGATCATGATTGGATCTCATGTGGAACCAAATACAGGTACATTATTATATTAGTTTTAATATCTTCTATATGGAATAGCAATTCCAGAAATTTGTATGTATATTATCAGTTAATAGTCTTAGATAGATTTGTTGATATTTAAAAAAGTTAAATTAAAAAGATTTCTAATAGAAGAATAATAATGAGAAATTAATGATAATAATTAAATTAAAAATGACAATTTATCATGTAACATAAATAACAGATTATTTTTGTCATCCTTACATTTTTTTTTTTGATCTCACATTGAAGATTACAAAAAAAAAATACGATTACTATTATCAAAATAACTTAAATGAATTTTTTATCTGCAAAGAAGAAAGACAACATTTGGTTCTATTTATGAATAAATGCAATAAACAAGCAAACGTCGATTTCGAAAAAAGTTGGGATAATTTTTTTCATTATGACATAATTCCATTATCATAATGAATTTTTGATATAGAATTGTCATTTATTCATTAATCTAATCTTTAAATCATAATTTTGGCCAAATTTTTCGTTAAAGCTGTAATGTCGGTCGATCTAAAATCTATTTTTTTAAAAAAAAATCAAAAATAATTTTTTTTAAGAGTTTATCTATATAAGTAATATCAAGTTAGAAGAGTTTGTTATTTTAGACAAGTGATATATATTCTTTTCATTCAATTAGGAATTCAAAGTTGTAGTAATTCAAATCTTATTTATTTATCTTTTTTTAACAAAACGAAAATAGTACGTGATAAAAGTTTTCAGTTTGTGCAAAATAATTTCCCAATTTCTTTATTAATAACAATTTTTGTTTTTAAGTTTTTTGACATATGTGAAAATTCCGAAAACTAGATCTTATAGAAGAATATTATTTATAATAATAACTCAGATACAAAATCTAAATCAAAAAATTTTAATTTGTGAGGGTGATTTACACTTACAGACACAAAAACATAAACGAATATATAAATTTATATTACCTATATTAACTACATAAACTATATCATATCATATCGTGATTATTGTTATTATTTTTATCGAGAAAATTGGAGATGTGCGAAATAATAGTATAAGTTTCTTTTGGAAGTTTTAAAAGTATCTAAATACGTATCATAATAAGTTCAATAACTCACCTGATTAATTATTTAATTAATTATTATTTACTGCTCAAGATGTGATCAATAAAACTGATAATTTATTTCAGTTTTGTAAATGTACACTATCCAATTAACTTTTCTAGATGGAATTTTGGAAATTTGTTATCTTGAAGTAACGCCGATATTAAAATATAAATTTTACGAGTTCATTTTTATATAAACTAAATATTATTCAAATAAAGAAAAATTATGTGGAAAAGCACGAAGATCATTTCTTTTTTCTGATTTTCACAAAAGGAGGAGACTAACTATTTAGGATCTGTGCAGCTAATGTAAATAAAATATATTCGTTGATTATACACAAGTTCCGTATTGCAGCAATATCCAGTTCCTAAGTTGTCATTTCTATTTTGTTTGCTTAAGTTTTGTAATTTCATAATTCAAATTACATTATTATAATTTAGAAATAAAAATTGAAAAAAAACTAAAGTAGATTTTCTTATTCTTAAGGAAAAACATTACGTAGATCACAATTGTATTTATCATTTGATGTTTACTTTAAAAATTTATTTACAGTATATATAAGATCTAATAAGGTCTAGACTGGCATTTATTAATATAATTAATTATATAAACAGTTAAAAAGGAAAATCAGCTCTTCAGGCAAAATTTCATTGTTTTTACAAAAATGGTATAATTTTGTTTGTTTAGAAAACTAAAAAAAATTCTTGATTTTCCATAATAATAAAAGATTTTTGTGTCACCTCGCGAAAATCTACATTTCCCAAACTTGGGACGTCAATGATATATCTCTTTTAATTTCGAAAAGCATTTTGTACAAGACGGGCACCTAAATCACGAGAATCATAATGATGCTCTGCTTGGTTATATAATTTTCAACATATATTTGCTTAGAAGTATGAAATATTTCTTTTGGCTTCACATCTTTAACTTGAAATAATTCCCATTCAAAGGATATTCTGACTATGGAATTTAGTTTCTAATTCAAAATCCTATTACTTAATTTGTATATGTGGTAAATGATAGAAAATTCTGCCTAGAATTTAGATGATGGAAAATAATGATGGGAAAATGACACAAACGTCCCATATAATTTCTAGAAGAGGCTTATCTAGAAGATGTACAGTACATATGGAAATTACGCACATGATACAAATTATAAGTGGGAAACTCTAGGATTATAACGTATATCTTAAAAAAAGATTTGATGACATTCTAAGTGCCGGAATGTGATGGGATGGTTATCGGCAATAATGAAACCCTATATTATAAATATTTGCATATTGTACTTGTAAGACTGATTATTTGCAAAATTTGGTGAAACAAGCCATTCACAGAGTCTTGATAACTACAGAAAATAGAAGCCATAAAAGATCCATCTCATCAGCTTTTCTTTTCATTCTAAATTTACAAAAATTTAAGAACAAACATGACGAGAATCTTCAGTTTTAATTTATATTTCTATCTTGTAATTGTGTTATCATTCTATATATCGCAAGTTTTGTCAAATTCAACGACGATTCAAAAAAGAGAAATTAATGAAGAAAGTGATGGCACATTAAGAATTATTTCGCGTACTCTCCGTAGCTGTGGAGGATCACTTGTTTATTCAAGCTTCGAAGCCACTATCTCCACGGATGGATATACGACTTACTTTCTCAAAGGAGCTATCCCCGGGGGGTTAAGTCAGCCTACAGGTTATTCACGATTGCTATTGTATTTTCGTGTAATTTTATTTAATAAATAACATTATTACCAAGAATAGTATACTGACAATTCTTTAGCGCAATCAACCCTCGCTACCGTAAATTCTTCCAAAGTGACATGTCATTATTCTCCATATACACCTAGCAAGGTTGAAACTGCATGTGTAATTGATAGTGGGTCCGCAATTACATTTTATTTTGGCAGTTACAGTGTTGGAGGTTCTATGGGAGTACGGGCGTCATGGGAATATAATTCTACGATCGTAACAAATAAGCTTGAAATGAGTTTTTCTCTATGGAGTACAGATTCAGTCATCCAAGGTTGTGTTATTGGTTTAGCGACAGCTAGTCCCACAAACTCAAGCTCCACAACCTCAATCTACTCAACCACAACACAAACCTTCTCAATCCCCAACGCTTCAGGATTCCAAATCTCATATAACGCTCTATTTGCAGTGATTTTTATACTAATAAGCGGCCTCACCAGCTATACGTTAATAAAAGGCAACAATATACCACAAATTTCTAAAAATCTTGAATCATCCGCCGTTGAGAAATTGGCTGTTGATCGCTCCCAACCACCTTCAGTATATGATATCTTTCGTGCTGCTCAATTTTTCGTAACTACCGCTCTGCTTTCTTTAACTCACCTTCCAGAAAGTTACCGGGATTTAATATCTAAGTTTGGTTGGACAATTGGTTTTCCCAGTTTTAGTGAATCCCTATCTAACGTTGTAGATAACCAGATACGAAAAGGAATATGTAATATGTCAAATCCACCCTCATCTGGATTTACAACTTCTGGGAGAATAATGAATATTCCAGACTACAATTTATTTTTTTGCGTGCTTATTCAATTCTGCATTATATTAGCAATTGCACTTGTTATTACATTACTCCTCGGGTTGATTTCACGGTTGTCTAAATTCTTACAAAAAAAATGGTCCATTGTGAAAACAGCGGCGAGCAATATTCACTTTTTAGTACTTGGTATGTAAGAGGTCCTAAATATGCTATGATATAATTTAATTAAATTATTAATGATAGGAAACTAACTTTTCGGTTTCGGTTCCTATTCTTAGGTGGAATGTTTCGTGTGGTAAGTACTATTCCATGTATTCCATAGAGTTTTATTCCTAGGTTTAAATTGACATCCAATAACAAATTTCCCTTATTTTTTTATTAACATATAGCTGCTCCTATTTTATTACCCTTTAACCCTTTTTGCCGCCTATCAACTGTCATTTCACTACGACTGTTGGTTCTTGCTTTTTCTTACTGCAATTTGTATCACATTCATTTCTCTTGGCGTGATAAGCTATTGTTCCTACAAAATCCTCCAGGATTTATCGCATGATCGGGATGCATTTAACGCGCCAGTTCATACATTCATTTATGGTGCGCTCTATACTCAATATCGAGATCATTCGGAGGAGAAACAAGCTTGCCTCTGGTTTTTTGTATTCACAGTCACCTATGATGTCATTCGAGCAGTTGCCACCGGAGGAGCTCGACAAAGTGGTGTCGTACAAACTGTCAGTTTGCTTCTGACCGAAATAATTTACCTTATTTTATTGCTAAGATTTAGACCCTTTAAAACAAATTCAATAAACTATTTAAATATAATCATATCATTTCTGAAGTCTTTGATTGTGATATTGTTAATCCCATTCTTGAATAATTCGATTGATTTTCTTAAAAGTCTTATATTGGCGCTGCAATTTATTATTATTGGAATTTTATTACTGGTAGTACTCCTTCAATTTTTTGAATTAATTAGAGGTTTCGTTAGCAAAGATAAAGACAATATTGAGGCCAAGGTGAATTAGAAATTTTCATTATAGTATATCACACTGTTATACTGTTATACCTTAACAAATTTATATAACTAACCACATCACTAAATAAATAAATATATGTACTGTATATATATTTAGTAATCTGAGATACGTATTTTTTTCACAAATTTTGATTACGTAATAAAAAATAAACGAAATATTTTGCGTTTCAATTTGAATTTATTTATCCGATAAACTCGATAAGCGTATCAGATCATCTTAATTTTTTACATTACGTAGTTTGCATTTTATATCAAAAGAAGATTTCAAGACTCTTCGTTAGAATTTTTTTGATATAAAATGACCATAGCCATAACGTCCAGTCACTTGAAAGTTATTAGATGCACGATCAATTTGTTTCTTTGACGATCATCGTTTCGTTTTTGTAAAAGCCCATTTTATTTTTATTTTTTGGATTTTTAATAGCTTATCGGCATAAGTAAAAATAAATCTTTATTTTCGCGCGATGATAAACTAACTGCATCAAAGAAAATAAAGTCGATTGGATTATGGCAAAATTCGAAATAGTAAATAAATGTTTTATTATTCAGTAAACATTTCTTAAGAATAAAATGGAGTTAGTATAGTAAGTTATAAGTTATGCGATTAAAAACATTCCACTGAATTATCAAGCAATCCAGACAATTACAATCCATTATACCCACTTTTGAAGAATTATATAACGAGATATATACTGTAAATACTGGGATGATTATCGGGAAAATGATAACGGAATTACAATTCAAATTAAAGAAGCTGAAGAATTTTCCAAAAATCAACAATAACTGATACAACAGCTGCAACTCTGAAAAATTATAAAACACATCAGCAAGCAATTTATATCAGTAGATTTCTCAATTTTTCGAATCTTCCAAAACCTAAAAATGATGAAAATTTCGAAAAAAAAACTTGGAGAATTAACAAAATCTTTTTACCAAATAAATTCTAGTATCAATTATATATTTTATTATAATTTTCTTTTTCTTTTTTTTTTAATTAGGCGATGATGATGATGGTGGTAATGATGAATGAATGATTTGAATATATCTAATTTACATTTTATTTAAATTATCGATCATATGTTTTTATTTGTATTTTAAGTATAAATTATAATGCATTAATTAGTTATTAATTTTTTTGAAATTATAAAATCTTAACACTAAGTATAAAGTTTATAATTATGATTTTTTATCAAAAAAGCAATTTTTTTTTTATATATTACAAATAATGAGTTCTAGCCATTAAGGTTTGTAAATTGTGATAAATTATTGTCGATCATTTTACCGTTGATATTAATGAAAAATTCAAAAAATATCTATCAAACTTTACTACATATAAATTATTTATTAATAAAACATCAAATTTATACTAATTAATCTTATAGCCAAGAATGTGGTGTATCATTTACAAGTGTTTAGAATTTTTACTTACGAATTGGATTTAATATTAACGGCTGAATACCGTTAATAATTTGCTCAATTTTTAATTTGATATGTCTAAATACTTTACATAAGATGCTGTATGTACTCAGTTTTAATGTTACTTAGTATTATTTTCATTAGTGCTTTAGTAAATAAAAAACTTTTGTATGTAGAAACGTTCGATAATTATTTTCAGATTTTTTTTTTTTTTTTTTTAAAAAAATTTTATTAAATTTCGGTCGTTTTTATTCACGTCTAATTAAAGTCAAAATTTTCATTAGATATGGAGAAAAGACTTTTAATTAAAGTTATAGATATTGTTTCTGGCTATAATTTGATATAAGATAGTTGGTATATATCTTTAACATCTATATGCGGTATAGGTAACGATCAAAATAATACGAATAAAAAAAAAAATACTGAAAATGAATAATCATTTCAGTACAAAACAAAATGCATTGTTAATTAATCATCTTTATTAATTAAACTTTACTAACAATTAAAATTTCAGTACATTTTGGTGAAATATAATTCAATAAATACAGATCTAAATAATGGAACTTGGTTTTTCAGGAAATGAAATGGCCGAACCTTTAAATCTAACATTCTTATCAGATCATTGGAAAATAAAATTCAAGCTAATAAATTCCCTTAACCTGAGTTCTTGTTATAAATATGCAAATATATATTATTAGGAGTGATTTATGAATAATACGCTACATATTTAATGATTAACTCCTCGAAATATATATATATAAGCATACTTCTCGGAAAGATACATATATATATATAATAAATTTTGAATAATCTATAACAGATTTATCTGTTAGCTTAAAAGGCTTAGTAAAAATAACATAAATCAATATACAAATAAATAAAAACCCTTTCACCTATTTATATTTTTTCGATTCATTTAAATATGTCTAAAGTATTTATTTATTTTTTTTTTTTAACTTATTCTATATAATAAGGATATTATTACAGTAATTTATTAAAATCTTTTGAATTCAAAAATTAGAAATTATAAACCATAAAAAATTCAACAATACGAAAAAAAAAACTGAAAAAATTGAAACGAATTTTAAATAATTGGAGGGAATAATTAGCTAAATTTGACAGGTTAATTTAAAATCATTAATATAACTAATAAGCTAACATAACATATAATGTATATATATACAGTATATATTCACATGAGCCTTGCTTATTATTTGTAAAATTGTTTTAATAATAACGAATTAAAACAAAGAATACATAAAGGAGCTTCACTAAACTACTGTAAAATAATCTACCGTGCGACTCATCGTTGTTGTTTAAACGCCAGAAACTAACAGGAAAAACTCCGTCCACGTCCATGGGCAGCTAACATATAATATGTTAATATTCAAAATGTAATAATCTCACTCCCAATGATTTAAAAATTCAACAACCTTTTGAAAAGTTTCTTGTCTAGGTTTCTACTTTAAACATGGAATCAATTTCATCGTTAAAATACATTCGATTGTTTCTTCATTTTTGAAGGCGGTAACACAATGCTGAAGTAAAAAAAGGAGAATCTTCTTCATTTGCTAATAGTTATTAAAAATTAAATTAAATAATTGAGAAATCAATATTTAAATATTTAAATAAATAATAATAAATTTACCCGAGTAAAAACAATTGGTAAAATTATTATATCATCAATCTTATAGTTGGTACGATAATAGTGATGAAGGAGACAATGTAGATGAGGAGATGAACAAGACGAAGGCGATGAAGAAGGTAAAGGGGACGAAAGAGATAATAGAGATATTCCTTGAATAATTGATTAATATTTGTAGCTTCCTTAATTGCTATTGATGAAATTCCTTCATGAAAACAATTAAGCCAATTATCTTAAATAACGGAGAATTAGTTTTATAATTAAAAAATTCTAAAATTCATTAGCACCTTTAAATGCTGACATAATCTAATGTAATTAGATTGTATCTAGATAATGTAATAGTTATTGACAATAAAGAGTAGAAGGTAAATAAAGTAATTAAATTACCTAAAATTCTACCCATAGAATGTCCAACTTGTCCACTATCGTTATGATAATTTCATCCTCACGTTCATTAACAATAATTTCTAAGCATTCACTAAAATCACCTTTAGTATTATAAGTTGGATGTACTATTGATTCTATACCTAAGTTTGATATTTGTTCCTTTAAGAAGTTACTATTGATATTTTTATTTTAAATGGAGAAGGAGATGAAAATAAGATTAAATTAATCAAAGACGTTAAATAATGCAAAAACATTATACCTCAAAACATATATCCTTTAAAACCATGAATAATAATACATATTAATTTATTTTTCCACCATCACATTTTATCTAATTGTATATCCGAAAATTGTTTTTTAACGAAGTCGTACATTGAAGAAAATATACTGAATGATGATCTCGTTTTATTTTTTTTTTTTTAAAAAAAACAAAGTGAGAGAATTAGACATTAAAAAATACCCGAATTGGCAAACTATGGCAAATCAAACATGTCAAATTTCGGGTTAAATCAACATTAATATTAAAGAACTCGGATGTATGTGTGATTTAACCCGCTTTTCATTGTTATTCTGAATTTGTATGTCTAAAACGAATTAATGTAATGTAATGCATAATGTATTATAAAAAAAGATACTATTCTTTTTATTACTATTATTATGAGTGTTGTACAAAGAAAAATAACAAAGTAATAAAGAATAAAAAAAAATAACAATGTTGATAAATATAAATATAAAATAACGTTGAAAATTATTTGCGTATTGAAAATGGTTATATAAAAATTTTTTATAAGGATAAAATAGGGAACATTTTTTAAAGATGCTCGTCATACAAACAACCGTATAAATATTGCCAGTGCTCTTTTCAATTTACAAAATTTACAAAAAGAAAATGTCATTGAAATTTTTTGACAAGTTATCTCAAAATTTTATTGAACTTCTTAACGATAAAGATGATTATAATGTAATCATTGAAGTAGAAAATAAGAAAAAATCGTTTACAGCACATTCCAACGTATTGAAATTTCGATCGTCTTATTTCCGAAGAGAATTAGAAAATATTCATCCGAATGAGAATAATATTAAAATAATGGTCAAGTCAAGCATTTCTGTTCAAATTTTTAATGTTATTCTTCAGTAAGTCAT